CTGGTGCGTAGTGTGCTGTGGTCGGAACGGAACAAATGCGCAGGTGGGCGTTTGTTTGGGTTCGTTGCACGTCGTCGCATTCCTTCCCCTCCTTCCTCCCTTCCTTCCGCGGCCGTCGTGTGTGTGTGTGTGTGTGTGTGTGTATGTGTGTGTGTATATGTGTATGTGTGTGTGTGTGTGCCTGTCTGTGTGTAATCATGCACCATTGGTACAGCTTCCTATGGAATTGCCCCCACACTTTCAGGTTGCGCGCGTTTAGGCAGGTATGGTTCGAGCGGATTCACTTGCGCGATGGCCAAGCCAGCATGGTTAGCGTATACTGTGTATTGCATTATTCCCCACAGTTGCATCAACTACCAGGCGCTGGCAAAGCGGACCCGCCAGCAACTTGGTCGCACGCTGCTTTTCGGCAGCTGTACGTGCATGCGGTGTGCGAGTGCGCATCCGCAGCGCTAGCTGCAACTATTCCCGCTGCGCCGTCTACAAGGCGCGAGTGGATTGCAGATCAGCTGGCGCTCTCGCGCTGGGGCCTGCACGGAGGCGGCCTTTCGGCAGCCGCGCTCGAAACGTACCGTCTGCTACAAGACATGGTACAGGGCGCCTAGGAGCAGCACCTGCGGAGTATACTCCTGATGGGCTGACACGAGGGGGTCACGCGTTTGGTTGGCCGAAGGCGAGGTCGCCCACGTGGCGCAAACGGCGCCGTGCCCAGGATTCGCCTGGCAGTGGTCCTCAGTTATGTCGTACCCGTGGACAGTTTCCCAACACATCAACATATCAGAGCATACTGCGTCTTTGAAACTATCACAGGACAAAGTCTCGCTCTTCGTGCTTTCGTTCTCTGCGTTTAAGCAGCGTTTTCGATTGCCAGCTTGCCGCGGCAGTCGGAGGCTCAATCGCCCGCGTCGGCGCCTGATGGCTTTCGAGCTCGTGTTGGATGCCGATTCGGTGGGTCTGTGGACAGTCTCGCACAGGGATCTATGGTGCGGCAAGGTCGGGGCAGCAGTGTCTTTTCGGCGGCCGGATCTGGCAGCTCTCCTGCTTGGGACTTAGGCCCAGAAGGCAATAGGTCAGAGGCGACGATAGGGGCGAATAGCCCAGGGGAGAGCAATACATGTATGCAGGGGCGCCGATGATCTATGTCTTCGACAAGGCTCCTGGGCGAATGCGTGTAATGCCCGCCCCTGGGCTAGTCGCTTTTATCGCCTCCGAACAGGGTCGTCATCAGGCTGCCGCACACGAGAACTTCTCAACGGCACGGCAGTGCCGAGCACGTTTGCATCACGGACGGCGTCGCGGTGTGTGCTCTGCAGTTGGCGTGCCGTGGCCGGCGCAGTGCGCGGCGCCTCTGCACGCAGCCGCCGTCGCAGTTCGTACGGGAGCGCAAATGGTTGTGCAATCTCTTCGTCGTTGCGGGCGACACGGTCACGCCTTTGGCCTCCGTGGAGGCGGGGCCGCGTGGCTCTGGCTCCTCACGGGATCCCTGGACAGAGTTGCCGTTCTCGGACGTTGGCAACATTCTTCCACAGCTCGGATATATTTCGAGGCAGCACCAGCAGAAGTCAATGCATTGCGGCACGATGCATAAGCGCACCAAATATGGTCACAAGCAGCTGTATTGGGAATGCGTGCAAGTAGTTTGGAAGGGTAACTTTGGGCGGAGCGGTCCCAGTGAGGCTGCTGGGGGCTGGTCGTCGTGAGATGGGCCTCCCGTGTGATTGGTTTCCCAGTGCTCCAAGGCGCTTTCGTATCAGGGGCACTCTCTCTTGGAGTCCAGACTGGTTATCTTCCCCCCCTGCTGTGGCATGTGATGCCGTCAGCCTCGCGCCGCTGCTAGCGAGTGCTAGGCTCACTGCGGCGCCAAATACTTCCGGGGCCGAGGGAGAAAAAGTGAAAATCGAAGGGCAGACATGTGAATGATGCCCTAGTTGTTCACGCTTGACTCCTGTCGCATAGGAAGTACGGGGGCGCAGGGAGATGAGAGGGAGAGGAATGTGGAGCAGGAGGAGGAGGAGGAGTCAGCATGGGAGCATGGGTAGCATGATGCATCGGCATGTCCACAGCCCTCCTCCCCCCCTGGCCTCCCCTAGTCAAGCCTTTAAAGGCGGTTATCACACAGTTTCAGCTATTGCGACGCATTCTGTTGGATAGTGGCCAAACACCCCTGTTCAGGGGCTGCGGAACTACCCGCCAAGCCGTAAGATGTACGTGAGCCAATAATGCCCATCTGACAGTCTGAGTGTGGGGGGATGCCAGCCCATCGCCCTCTAGCCTCCTCCTTCATGTTCGCTGAACAGGTTTTCCTCAAGTCAAGTGGGTCGGTTCTCGTCGTTGCAGTTATTAATCCACTTCATTCAAGATGGGTCTGTTTGTGTCTCTGCAGTTTTTAAGTCATTCATGCTTGCCGCCTGGTACTGGTACTGTCTGCTGCTACTGTTCCTTGCCACACTGTTCACTGGGTTGATCTTTCAACGACCTCCGCGGGCCTTGCAGGGCAGGGGATATGGGGGTGACCATGCGATTGGTTGCTCGGTGCTCCAAGGCGCTTCCGCGTCAGGGGCACTCCCTCTTGGAGTCCAGGCTGTTCCTCTTCCCCCCCCCTGCGGTGGCAGGAGGTGCCGTCAGCCCTCGCGCCGCCGCCAGCGAGCGCTATACGCTCACTGCGCCACCAAATACTTCTTGGGTCGAGGGAGAAAAAGAGTGAACATCGAAGGGCAGACATGTGAATGATGCCCTGGTTGTTCACGCCTGACTCCTGTCGCGTAGGAAGTACCGGGGCGCAGGGAGGTGAGAGGGAGAGGAATGTGGAGGAGGAGGAGGAGGAGCAGGAGGAGGACGAGGAGGAGGAGTCAGCATGGGAGCATGGGTAGCAAATACCGGCGGGGTCGAGGAAGGAAAAAAGCGCGAAGGAATAGGCCAACGCGCCTGGGGCGCCACAACAAGGTACCCACGGGCGCCCACCAGGGCGGAAGCCCAGCAACTACAGCCCGTAGCCACCGCGCACGGGGCTGCCCACGAGGCGCCCACGAGGCGCGCCCACCGGGCGAAACCTCGGCAGCCAAGGTCGGTCACTCGTAAAGGAAGTGCGAATCCTTGGGTACCATCACTGTTGTTCCTTCCTCGCTTCTATTTTTCAGCCGCGCTAGCTTCTTGTGGCTTCGCCGTTGTCCCAAGGTTGCGCAGCGTGCTGCCCCAGCGCCAAGGGCGGTTTCACGGCCACTTCAGGTTCTTGCTATGGCTGCTTATCACGAGTTCTTATTCAAGGGGCTTTATTCTGCCATTCCGCCGACCCTCACAAGGAGTGAGTGTTTACGACGATCGTGGAAGTTATATCTTGGGTCAGGAGCCTCCTGGATGAATATGAGGGTCTCATGTGATGCTTCTCTGGGGCCTCTTGGAATATATTGGGGGCACGTGGGAGTCTTTTTGGGGGCTTCGTGGGGGCCTCTGGGGGGCTTCTTGGGGGCGTCTTGGAGGCTTTTGGAGCCTCTTGGAGGGCCCTCGGGGGCCTCTGAGGGGCTCGAGGGGTCATGTCGGTGGGGAAGGGTCGAAATGTCAGTTCGTATTCCCCCTCTTGGGCTTTCTTGGAGCCCTCTTGGGGCCCTCCAGTGGCAGTCTCGGGCCGTCTTCGGGGGCCCCTGGGGCTGTCATTGGGCCCTCTTGGGCCGTCTTGGGACCTCCTTGCAGTCATCGTTAGTCGTCTTGGGACGGTCTTGGGGGCCACTTGGGCCGTCGTGTTCGCTGTAAAAACGTAAAATGCGAATGTGCTGAACATGTACGTTTTTTCCTGAGGAGATGGGATGATTTTGACCTCTTGGGGCGAATTCGGCGATCCTCTCGAGGCGCTTTTGGCTTGTCTTGGGGGCATCGTGGGCATTCTTGAAGCCATCTTGGATCGTCGTGAGGCTTTCCTGGGCCGTCATGACGCTCTCTTCGACTGTCTTGGCGGTCTGTCCAGACCCTGTTGGGCTGCCTTGGAGCTGTTAGGGGGCTCCAGAGAGCTCCCGGGATGGTTGGCGAACTCGTCTCCCCCCCACCCCACACCCCCCTTCCCTCTAATCGGATTTTGGACCCTGGGGGATGGGGAACGTGGGATGGGGACAGCCAAACGTCCAGCACGCCTTTCCACCCCCGGCAAGCGGGGGTCGGCGGGTTCTCGTACAAGAAGTAGTGCACTTGCCAAAAATATGGTGTCTCCACCACGCTATTCGATTACATTGTCTTCGCCGCTTACTCCCACTCGATTTCGCAGCTGTTTCACAGTCTACCCCACGGGCGGCCCTTCATCTACTTTCACATGCAGCCAATGCATGTTGGTTTCTCGTTGTGTGGAGCGTGCTGTGCCTTCCATGTTGTACCGCGCGTGCCGTGTGTGGCATGCCATGCGTGCCATGGTGAAGATGGCCGTGCCGTGAGCGTCATTTCTGCACCACATGTGGCGTGATGTAATTGCCGTGTGTGCGTTGCCTCGCGTGCCAGGCCGCGCGGACTACATGTGTTATGTCGTGCGTGGAGTGTCGTGTCGTGCATGCCGTCGTGGCGTTTGTGTGGTGATCCAGTTGCGTGTTCCGTGCGTGTGATGAAATTTCATGTCTTGGTGTGTCGCGAAGTATACTTCGCGCAGTTCTCACGCTCATTCCTGCTGTTCTCTTCTTGCGGACTCAGGCGTGCGGCCTCCAGGAGCCATGCTTAGTGTTCTAGGTGTTACCTCTCCCATATAACCTCCCCAAGGCAAGGCTAGGCGCAAGATGAGGCCAAGCAGGAGGGTGCTGAAGAGGAAGAAGAGGAGGATAAGGAGAAGGAAGAGAGGAGGATGAGGATGAGGATGAGGAGGAGGAGGATGAGGGGGAGGAGGCGGAGGAGGAGGAGGAGGAGGAGGAGGGGGGTGAGGAGGAGGAGGAGGAGGAGGAGGAGGAGGAGGATGAGGAGGAGGAGCAGGAGGAGGAGGAGGAGGAGAAGGAGGAGGAGGAGGAGGGGGAGGAAGGATTCCCTCCTCTCAGGGCAAGCTTGTGCACGGAGACCTCTCCGAATTCAACATGCTGTATCACGCAGGAGCCGCCGCTGCACCGAACTCGCGCTTCTCAGAGTGTCGTCTCCCTGGCACCCTCGACTGCGCTCCCTCTCTCTGGAAGAAAGTTTGTTAGGAGCAGGATGACGGGGAGGAATCAATGTTGAGGGTCTGGGGCTGCATTTTCCTTTGCGGTCCACGCCAGGATCGGCGGTGCCAGAGCTCGTCAGATGAGTGCTTCCGCCTGAGTTGTAGATCTTGCGGTCCCTTCTCGCATCCACGCCCTTCATGGTCGAGGGAGTCGTTCACCTTTCCAGGCTGACCTCTGCGATCTCGATGTACCCGATAAGAGGGCAGGACTTTTCATACGGAAAACAAGCAAATGGCATGACCCTCTCACCTTCCCCTTCTCTCCCCCCATTCCCCATTCCCAGGAAGGGTGGACGGACCGAGGGAAGTGGGGAGGCAGAAAGTGTATCCTCCTCCAAAAGTTGATGTTTATTTCGAGGCCGGGATTTGTACATGTACCGATCGCCTGGAAATGGATCGGGGCGGCGGATATGTATACATCGCAGCCTCGGATTTATATAGCTTTTTCCCAGCCATCCTGTGGTGCTGGGTCCTCGTTTTGACGAGAGTGCTGCGCTTTCCTCCTTATCCTTCTCCTCGCCCCTCCTCCCCGTTCTCTCTCTACCCAGTACAGCGCTTCGTGGCCCCATAGGGAGCTCCACCGAAGGCCCCAGTGGCTGTGATCAGATGCGTCCCGTGCTACCCAGTACAGCGTTTCGTGGCCCCGTAGGGGGCACCACCGAAATCACACGCGTCCCGCGCCACCCAGTACAGCATTTCGTGACCCCTTAGGGAGCTCCACCCAAGGCCCCAGTGGCTATGATCACATGCGTCCCGCGCCACCCAGTATTGCGTTTCATGGCCTCATAGGGAGCTCCACCGAAGGCCCCAGTGGCTGTGATCAGATGCGTCCTGCGCTACCCAGAACAGTGTTTCGTGGCCTCATAGGGAGCTCCACCGAAGGCCCCAGTGGCTGTGATCACATGCGTCCCGCGCTATCCAGTACAGCGCTTCGTGGCCCTATAGGGAGCTCAACCCAAGGCCCCAGTGGCTGTGATCACATGCGTCCCGCGCCACCAGTACAGCGCTTCGTGGCCTCATCGGGAGCTCCCAAGCGCTTCCAAGCGCTCCCCAGCTCCGGCGCTTCCCCAGCGCTTTCCCGGCGCTCCCGGGCGCTTCCCAAGCGCGCCCAGGCGCTTCCCGGCGCCCCCAGGCGCTCCCAGGCCCTTCCAGGCGCTCCGAAGCGCTTCCCAGGCGCCCCCCAGGCGCTCCCATGCGGTCTCGGGCGCTTCCAGGCGCTCCCAAACGCCAGGCGCTCCTTCTGCGCTCTCCCGGCGCTCCCGCGAGGGTTCGCAGGCGCTCCCGGGTGCTCCCAGGCGGTCCCCAGGCGCCCCACGCGCTCCCAAGCGCTCCCAAGCGCTCCCGGGCGCTTCCCGGGTCTCCCAAGCGCTTCCCAGGCGTTCCCAGGCGCTCCCGGCACTCCCAGGCGTTCCCAGACGCTCCCAGGCGCTCCCGGGCGCTCCCAGTCGCTTCCGAGCCCGGCGCTCCTCAGCGTTCCCATGCGCTCGCTCTCCAGGCGCTCCTTTGTCCCACCTGCCTTGCAGTAGTCGCAATTCCACGTGGTTGGGTCCTTCGCCGGGGCAATTTCCCGAGGGTGTTAGCCATACGCCTGCACCGATCCTGGCCAGGCCCATCCTGGGCCCAGGATCGTTGCACATGTACTCCGCGCCAAACTGGGACGGCGTATACACCGGTTCTGGGCCCTGGGTGGGCCTGGCCAGGATCGGTGTAGGTGTATGGTTGGCGTCCTCCTGTGTTTAAGTTCAAGATGCTTACGTCATTCCGCCGACCCCAAGGAGTGAAGAGCCTTCCTGCTGGGTCAGAGATCTCTTGGATGTCTGTGGGGGTCTCGACCAGCTTCTGGGCGGCCTCCTGGGGACAGTTTGGAAGCGTATTGGGACCGTCAGAGGGCCTGTTTTGGGCCTTTTGGAGGCGCCTTAGGGGGTTCTTGTTTTTTTGTTCGGGCGCCCATCGGTGGTCCCTGTGTCCGCCTGGGGCGGAGGGCTCGACGCCTCCGTTCGAAGGAACCCTTTCGGGCCCCCTCGGTGCGCTCCGGTGGGCACCTCTTGGGCCGTCTTGGGGCCTTGTTAGGTTGTCGTGGGCCTTGGGGCACTCTTGGGGGCTCCTGGGGCTGCCTTGGAGCGTTCTCTGGGGCCTCGTGGGTCGTCTTGGACGCTGCGAAGACGATCAAAAACGAGTATGCAAATATTTTTTTCCCAACAAGAGATTGGGATAATTTTTGCCTCTTGGGGCACTGTCCTGAGTCCTCTTGGGGCTTTTTTGGGGCGCGTTGGAGGCCTATCGGGCCGTCTTGAGGCCATGTTTGGTGTATTTCAAACTTCTTGGCGTGTTGGAGCGCACAGTGAGTTAGCTGGAATTGTGTCTTGGGCATCTTCGAATTCGGAGGCTCTGGAGGCCGCAGTGGTGCGTCGGGGAGCCCAGACCCCCTGCCAGGGACCCTCCCCTGGCCCTTTCCCCCCACATGGGATTTTAGACCCCAGTGGAGGTGGAAAGATGAGGGGGACAGCCAATCATCTCACACACCTTCTGCAACTCCTGCAAGCGGGGGTTAGGCGGATCCCTCGACGGTCCTCGTCGTCGTGGTCCGCAATGCCATCCGCAGCCGGTGTGCTTGGCGCATCTATCCCCCCCTAGGTCTCGGGCGGCCCTGCCGTGCGTGCCAGAGCCTTCTCGCGCTCCGCGATGGCCTCCGCGAAGCGTGCTGGTGCTCCAGTGGTCGTCAGAGGAGGGCAGCAGCCGCAACAGCAGCAGCAGCAGCAGCAGCATTACGTAGCAGGAGTAGGAAGTGAGCAGACGGCGGAACTTGGTTTGGTTTCAGGAGGCCTCTAGACGACACCACGTGGAGCCTGCGGAGGAGAAGGATGATGATGATGATGATGATGATGATGATGATGATGATGCTGATGATGTTGATGATGATGTTGATGATGATGATGCTGTTGATGATGATGATTATGATGATGATGGTGATGCTGATGATGTTGATGATGATGATGCCAATGATGCTGATGATGAAGTCGATGCTAATGATGATGATGGTAATGGTGGTGGTGAGGATGATGCTTATGAACGATGATGATGATGATGATGATGATGATGATGATGATGATGATGATGATGATGATGATGATGCTGATGCTGATGCTGATGCTGATGATGATGCTAATGCTGATGTGGGTGCTGCTGCTGATGCGGGTACTGCTGCTGATGATGATGCTGATGCTAATGCTGATGCGGATGCTGCTGCAGATGATGATGGTGATGATGATTCTGTTGCTCTAATGATAACAACGCTGATTATGATGATGCTGCTGCTGGTGCTGATGATGCTGATGATGGTTATGATGATTCTGCTGCTGATGATTATGCTAATGATGATGATGCTGATGCGGATGCTGCTGCTGATGCTGATGCTGACGCTGATGATGATGATGATGATGATGATGATGATGATGATGATGATGATGATGATGATTCCAGTGATGCTGCTTACGCTGATGCTGATGCTGATGATGACGATGCTGATGCTGATGATGATGCTGATGCTGATGCTGCTGCTGATGATGATGTAGGTGGTGGTGGTGATGACGATGATGATGCTGATGATGCTGCTGCTGCTGATGCTGATGCTGGTGCTGCTGCTGATGATGCCGATGCTGATGATGATGATGATGATGCTGATACTGCTGCTGCTGATGACGATGATGATGAGGATGCTGATGCTGATGCTGATGCTGATGATGATGCTGCTGCTGCCGATGATGATGCTGATGATGATGATGATGATGATGGTGATGATGATGATGATGATGATGATGATGATGATGATGATGGTGATGATGATGATGATGATGATGATGATGATGATGATGATGATGATGATGATGACGATGCTGCTGCTGATGCTGATGATGCTGATGATGATGATGCTGATGCTGATGCTGATGATAATGATGACGATGCTAATGATGATGATACTGATGGTGGTGATGATGATGAATGATGATGATGCTGCTGCTGATGATGATGCTGTTTATGCTGATGATGACGATGATGCTGATGCTAATGATGATGATGATGATGATGATGATGATGATGATGATGATGATGATGATGATGATGATGATGACGATGCTAATGTTGCTGCTGATGATGATGATGCTGATGCTGATGCTGATGCGGACGCTGCTGCTGATGATGGTGATGATCATTTTTCTGCTGATAATGATTCCAATGAGGATTATTATGATGATGAGGATGATGATGCTGATGATGACGATGACGATGACGATGACGATGACGATGATGATGATGATGATGATGATGATGATGATGATGATGATGATGATGATGATGATGATGATGATGATGGATGATGGTGGTGCTGATGATGCTGATGATGCGTCTGCTGCTGCTGATGATGACGATGCTGAAATGACGATGGTGATGATGATGCTGATGATGATGATGATGATGATGATGATGATGGTGGTGGTGGTGGTGGTGGTGGTGGTGGTGGTGGTGATGATGATGATGATGATGATGATGATGATGATGATGATGATGATGGAGAGAGCGTGATCCACCGCCGCTTCACTGACGAAAATCCCTTCCCATCTTCCTCCGAAACCCCGGGGTCTCCCCCCCCCTCTAAAAATCCCCCCCCTCTGCCGACCCCCCCCCTCCCCCCCCTCTCTCCCGGCAAAACCCCCCCCTCCCCCTAACCCCCCCCCCCTTCTCCGGAAAACCGCAAAACCTGGGGGGGTCACTACCGGTTCGAACACCCCCCCTCCCCCCCCACCCTTCTCCGGAAAACCGGGGGGGCAAAACCTTCCCCTCCACACCGGGGGGGGGTCACTACCAGTTCGCCCCTTCCCGAAGACCGGGGAGGGTCACGACCGGTTCGAACCCCTCCCCCCCCCCCAGAAAATTGGAAAACTGGGGGGGGGTCACTACTGGTTCGACCCCCCCCGCCACGCCCCACGCGCACCGCCAGCAAACGACTCCGGTCCCGGGTCCCTACCACCGTCCGCACCACATCCCCACTGCTGTCCCCAGCACCACTGTCCTCACCACCACTGTCCCCGCTGTTCCCACCACCGTCCCCACTGCCCCCACTAGTGCCCCCACCACTGCCGCACTGTCCCCACTGTCCCCACCACTATTCCCACCACGGTTCCACTCTCCCCACTTTCTCAATGGCCCCAACTACCGTCCCACTGTCCCCACTGTCCCACTGTCCCCGCCGCTGTCCCACTGAGCTGTCCCACTGTTCCCACCACTGTCCCCACTGTCCCCACCACTGTTCCCACTGTACCTCTGTCCCACTGTCCCACCGCCGTCCTCGCCACCGCCCTTACCACTGTCCCCACCACCACTGTACCCTCCACTGTCCCACTGTTTCCACCACATTCCCACTGTCCCCACCTCACTGTCCCCACCACCACCGTCCCCACCACTGTCCCCACTGTTCCCACCATTGGCCCCGCTGTCCCCACCAGAGCACCCACCAGTGTCTCACTGTCCCCACTCTCCCCATCATTGTCACCACGGTCCCACTCTCCCCACTTTCCCCACGGTCCCCACCACTGTCCCACTGTCCCCACTGTACCCACCACTGTGCCACTGTCCCCGCCGCTGTCCCACTGTGCTGTCCCACCGTCCCCACTGTCCCCATCACTGTCCCACTGTCCCCACTGTCCCACCCATTTTCCCCACTGTACTACTGTCCCACCACTGTCCTCACCAACGCCTTCACCACTGTCCCCGCCACTACCGTCCCCACCACTGTCCCACCCACCACTGTCCTGCTGTCCCCTCACCACTGCCCCCACCACCACCGTCCCCAACACTGTCCGCACCATAGTCCCACTGTCCCCGCACCACTGTCCCCACCACCACCGTTCCCACCACTGTCCCAGCATCCCCACCATGGTCCAACTGTCCCGAGGAGCGGCGATCGTTTGCCAGCGGCGACGGGGGGGGGTTCGAACCGGTAGTGACCCCCCCGGTTTTTTCGAGGGGGGGGGGGTCGAACCGGTAGTGACCGCCCCCCTTTTCATGATGGACGGGGTGAGGAGGGTTTCGAACCAGTGACCCCCCCCCTGTTTTCGAGGGGGGGGGACGGGTTGGGAACCCCCAGTGACCCCCCCAGTTTTCCGCCAGCAGCGGTAGAACACGCTTTTTCCCACGATGATGATGATGATGATGATGATGATGATGATGATGATGATGATGATGATGATGATGATGATGATGATGATGATGATGATGATGATGATGATGATGATGATGATGATGATGATGATGATGATGATGATGATGATGATGATGATGATGATGATGATGATGATGATGATGATG